GAACAGTTCACGTGGACAGACTGTCGGGAAAATAAAATGTTTTCGATAACGCAGTTCACGATCAACTACTTTATCGAAAACATTTTCTTGTGCAGCACAGTTGGCAGAAGTTGACCCCGCAGAGCTCATAGTGCAAGCATCATCCCTCCTATGGATATCTTCTACAAAGATTCTTCTTCCTCAGATTGGGGTACTGAAGCGCGCTAGCGAATCCAGTTCATTTGTCATCATCTCTCTAGGAAATGGTATTTTCAAAATACTATGCATTGTATAATGACGTGATGACGGATCTTAATAAGATCATCTTATCCTCGGCATGAACCAAGCTCTCGAGATGTGCATCGTCACAATACATGATTCCCATAATTCAAGAAATGCACTCATCCACTTATGATGTTGCATTGCATTATTTTATCTAGACTGTGCTATGATAACTTTGTTAACAACGTGCAGCAAGCTATCTGCTTTCAATAGACAGTTCTTGCACAACGGCTTCATTTGTTTGGACTTGCGCCTGCGCTTGATTCATCATGAATCATTCGTAGAGGTTCCTCCTGAATAAAAATAACAGTTCTCGTCCACGAGTCGTACGAATCGTCCGGGTATAAGAGCAGCTCGGAATCATTCAATTAGTCCCACAGACGCTAAAATCGGCATTTCAACATACAATTTCGTGAATTTTCGAAAATTTGAAAATTAGCGTGGAAATTTGGAAAAAATACGTGAAAATATGAGAACGAAAATCGGTGAAAATCGTGAGAACCGAAACCCTGTTCGTACCGACGAACCATAGGATTATTAGAGCTCACCAAGTTACGTGGTTGGATAGCAAACCCCTGTTAAAGCTGCGTAAACTCGGCAAGATGCTCCCACTTTAGTAGTACTGAGATGATGTACAGGGTAGATAGCTCCGTATCCTATCTTGGGCAGTGCCCAATGGGCACACCCACAGTTCAACGACAGAGATGCCATGCGGCAGTCATGGCCGATTGATAAGCCAAGTCCAACGTAGCCAGTTCAATAGGCTTGACAGCTCTTGAGTGAACATCTTCGCAGGACCCCAGACGCAGGTCATGGCCCATGGATATGACTCATCAATGATGAGTCATCATGAGAGGTAATCTCAGGAAGGGACGTGTTACGTCCCTTACTACTAATAATCGCCGTTATTACTAATAACAAAGCTCTATTATGCATATTCGAGCTTAGCGGTATGACTGGGCGATAGATGATCCCCCGGTCTTTGATATTAGTAGGATCCACTCTCTCAGCCTGAGAATAAAAATGAATACCCTGAGGGTATTCATTTACCCGTTTGCATTTTGTATATGAAGTTTCTCATCATCGTCCTAGCCTCCTTCGGTGTAGCTCTCGGCAGTTCCAAAGTGTACTGGCAGTACAGTACTGCCAGTAGCTTTGTGAAAAAACTCCCTCCTGTGCCACTTCCAGCTGGGGTTCATATTGGAAGGTTAACGCTGCATCCTTCGGCCTTCTGCAGAATGGTGATGGTGAGTACTGCTTTAAACCAACCGACCCTTCATGTGATGACTCTGTTTACCCGCCAATATCTTGCCCAGCGGTGCCTTCGCCTTGCGAGGATGTCTGCGATGATCTGTCGAGCTGTCGAACCTCAAAGTGGGCCCCTTTGTGCAAGAGTTGGCAGAACCCTCCCGTTTGTTTTGGTATCTTCCAAAAGGCCGATGGCAGTCTGTGTTTCGAGAGCACAGAGCCTGACTGGGCTCTGACTGGGGCTCTTTATCCCTGCCCTAGTCTGTAGTCTCCGCCGCCAACGAGCATCCCTTTCTGATTTGTGTGACAGATATGTCGATCTTTCTCGCGGCACATAAGTTGTGAACCCTTCAAAAAGTTGGGAGTCCTCCTTCAAGACACTGAATTATCTCGACTTCGTCTGCTATTATGTATTAGATAATTTTGTTCCTATAAACCATCAGCATCCCAACGCGGCCAATATATCTTGCGTTTTTCAAGTGATATATGACATCTACCACTTGGAAAACGCAAGATATACATCTACTAGGTGTAAGCTTTACTGTGCAAGGTATCCGGTTATTCGTGACTGAGGAAACTCGTCACCATCTATGCTTCCGAGAGTTCATAGAGTAAAGAGGTATGCTATCACATGGCTCTAATAGAGTGTGCGTTATGTCATCTGTAAGGGTTGTTCCAAAGAATTGGAGCTCCTCGCAGCCCAAAAAAACTCTTGTGACAAGAGTTTTGTCTACGCTAGTATAGACAAGAGTCTTGTCTAGTAGACAATGTCTACACTAGCATGGAAGACCGGTGTTAGCTCCAGTTATGGGTTTGTATTGTGATCCGAATCATCCCCTCTGAGGCCGCTTGTGCACAGGAGATCGGAAAAAGGGTATCTGGAGACTTGACGTTCCGCACGAAATTTTCTGTCAGATGTAGTACATCTGATGTACCTATCAGGGCTCGAACCCGGATGGTAGATCATAAAATTCACCACTATGCTAACTGGACTGCCGAGAAACAAAGTCTGCAAAACCAGGCCTATGGATCCGGAGTGCCACCTAGCCTCAGTAACCACAGATCAACCAACCAAGTAGAGCACTAGAATTGCAGACCTTCCCTATACGGGCAGAATGGGTTCACTCGCGTTTCTCTGGGCACCGCCCTCGAGAAGTTCACTTGACGCATATTCCATGTTATGTGTACGAAACTGTTGGCCTTCCTCACTAAACCCTTGAGATTGGCGAATCTTAAGGTAAGGATCCTAACCTCACGGATGGTATGTGTCTTGAGAGCTTAGCTATTCTAGTCATACAGAAGTATTTGAGCAAGCCAACGAGTGCAGCGAAAATGCGTGACACGTGAACACGTGACACGATCATGACATGTACACGGTTGAAGAACCGACTGAAACCGAATTAAGCCCGAAATTTCGCTTTAGGTGATTTCCAGTGCTACGCAGCAGTGCTAAACACACGAGTTAGCAGATCGGCTCAAGTCTAACCGACTTGGCGACGGCGTTGGACTCTAAACTGACACACACAACGCAAGCTAAGCACTGTAGCGCCCACCGTATACTGCGCACAAGCAGGGCCGCACAATCGCACAACAAACAGGGGAGCTGATGATAGCCGAACGGAGTCTATTAAATTGATTCGATTTACATATGGTGTACAATCGATATAATGCAGTAACAGATTAGTCAACAGGAGCAGACGGGTCGTCTGCCACTAACTCCGCCATTCCACACGCGTCACGTAACGAGGCCATTGAACTATGTGCGCGCGTGCGGGCTGTGGGCATCCTCGAAGACGATTCCTCAATAATACTGAGTCCATATCTTACACAATGCAACAGTGACATTGGTACAATGTGTATACGATCTGTGACAGGCACTATGCAAGGCAGTTCCCGTTCTTGATATATGAGGTTCATCATCAACCTAATCTGCATCATTCTAGTCCTCGTCAGTCCCATACATTGCGTGGACGGTGGTATGGGATTCGAAGCTGAAAGCAATAGGCTGAGGGGGCTCAGCGTGGTCACTTGTTTCGCCTGCATCGGTTGCCCTAAGACATGCAGGACTCAACAGCAGGGATGCTATTGTCCATAATGTGAGTAATTGACATCATCGTTGGTCATGTCTTCCGGTTTCTATCCTAGGCCGTGAGACTCAGGCTAATTCTGGAGACAAGCAAATGTTATTGAACCAGCGTTGTCATCTCCACTGGAGATTCTGAAGATTCTTCAGAGCATTCATTTGATGAGATCTGATAAGGGATGTCCTTAATATTGCTCGAGCTTTTCTTCTGCTCGTCCGTAGCGTGGTGGTCTTGCGTTGAAGAGTACTCCAGTGATGTACAGTCAACGACTTCCTGCATAGACTGGTTCTGTACACTGCTGAGATACCACGAATTACTATAAGCAGCTTCGCCGCTGCGGCGACCTTAATCCTCCCTTCCCCAGTTTTAAGCTGGACGGACCACCCTCTTGAGCTGGCAGTTCGAGAGGATGGTCAGCCCAATTTTAGTATCATCGTTCTGGAATTAACAGTGAAGCATGATATCAACAATAAGAAGTATCAGAGGCTGTGTCGAGGTTGTTACCAACTGGTGAGACTGGTAAAGTACTACACCTTATCAACCTCTATTTCAACATTAAAAACTTCAATCAGAAAACAATTAAAAACTTTCATCAGGCGAGCGAGCTCGTGCCCCAAGATACCCCTATTGAAACTCCAATTTCGTCAACATATCGGTTTAGGAACTTCAATTTCGTTGGCGCGTCGATTTAGAAACTCCAAGTTCAAAGAGATTTCGGAACTTCGATTTCGAAATAATAGTAACTTCTCTTTCGCACATAGGAACATCAATTTCAGTACGACTTCTACCGTAGAAGTCTGCGATCGAGCTGCAGCAATCGTATTTACGGGTCGTGTTGACACAAGGGAACGACAGGACTCGCCGGACATCATCAATGGTCATGTTCATGGTGGTCAAGAGCTCCGAAAGATGGAGAGGTTTGTCGTCATCAAACATCTGTAGAAATACCATTTGGGTGCAACTTTAGATGGTCTCTTTCTTTTGGTAAGAACTTCGCAAACCGAGGTGAAGAGAGTTCCCTCTAATATTCATGTAGCTACAATTCACCACCTATAGCGTGTTCACCGAGTCAGCGAAGTCGGGGAATATGCGCATGGTCAACTAGATGTGTTGGTGACACAGAGAATTCAGAGGGAAATTCTTAATGATTTTTCGTACACTTCTGTCCGAGATCGTGTGTAGTATAATTAGTGAGGACGCTTTTGAACTCAGCGGAGGAATTCGAACATTCATTCCACCACTAGTCAGAGACACTGCAGGCTATGCCGGACTCGAAAACGGCAACCTTAATCTTTCACATGGCAAAAGCGAATCGCTAGGCTCCTACCAGTGGCATCCACTCCCAGATGCTCCCCTTCGAGACACGATAACAGTGAGCTCAACAGCTATGAAAGTTTCGCAGAGGAATAGCTTGGGTAATTTCCCATATGAACTATCCGAATAAAGCAGATCCAAACCATACTGAACCTACAGGGTTCCGCTCCCGGCTCTTGGGAAGGTCTCTGTGCTGGAATTGCTCTCGCGTGCGTGCGACTGCTTGGGTCGTCGCCGCCCGAATACAATCGTCGATTGTATTCGGGCACGGGCATTGTACCTGATCGATTGTCAATCGATCAGGTTATGTGTTTGCGCACCTCATTGCTTGTGCTTTGGGAGCCTCACGAATTGACCATTATTCTTTTCCGGCGAACTTGTTGATTCATATGATACCGGTATCAGATACTATCACCCTCATCTCCTATGAATGACGCCGAACCCTCAAATGTTCCTGAGTTGTCACTGGGAGGAACCATACTTGAGCCCAAACCTTTCTCTTAGGCCAGTCAAATTTCATTGTCTTTGGGGTCATTATGAGTAATACAAGTGTCCCCGTTACACAATTTATACCGCATTTTCTTCAACTGTCCCCGAACATCATCACTAGGCACCATGACAACCGCAAGTATTCAGACTGGGTGAGTTGCGATCGCCTGTAACCCATGCGGGGGTGAGATTTGTGTGTATTGGGTGTCGTGTCGCGGCCTGACCGGTGATCAGCTGTCCATCCCAAGGTGCCACTAAGGTCGGGTGGGAAGGCGGAAGTCATCACATCCGATCATCTGAAGGCGCGGGTATTGGCCAAGGCTGGGAACAGAGCAGGCAATACCGCACGATGGGACCAGTTAGGGTGGAGAGCGGCTGAGAGGTCGGTAGCCAACACAACAACAACGAGATGCAAAACACACAGATCGCTTTTGACACCCCGCGGAGTCTGCAGGAACTACTGTGGGACTCGGCTTTTGAACAATGTTAGTACTGAAATAGTTTCTCTAATTATATTTCGTGGTTCTATAGTGTAGTGGTTAGCACTCTGGACTTTGAATCCAGCAACTCGAGTTCGAATCTCGGTAGAACCTGGTCGTTCCTGTCTATGAGACTGTCGATACACTGCGTTCAATCTTTAAGGGATACTAGGCTCAGACGCAAGATGCCACTAGGCACCTTACGCATGGCGCACTTTCGGAGAAAACATTCGAGCAGTTCCCATCTGGGCGTTGGATTCTTCTTAGTTTTCGTCTCTGCCACCAATCAACAATAAAAAGATCTCAAGCCTTCCACTGGTGCTGCAGTATACAATAACCTTCTATGGTTTATAGTCTTGTAGTACTACACTGCAACTTCTACTCACTGACTATATAACGCGAGTCATACCCTTGTGAAAGGTGTAGAAACAATGGACAGTACTATTGGTATGTACATCTCTACTTCTTCGGTAACGGGCACGCACCACCGATATTGCAAGACATGATGCATTCCTCAGCGGCTTGATCAGTATCCTCATCCGAAGTGCTCCTGACTGTCGACATCTTCTCATCACCAGAAATCTTCCCCTTAGCAATATCGCTCGCCTTCCCAGCATTTCTGATAGCCATCAATGGCTTCATAGTACTCAACAAACTATTGAATAACCGGGGATAGTCGAACTCCTGTTCACTCAAGAGGACCTTCACACGATGCCTTTCCTTAGGTGTTGCGAAGCACGCCGGGCAGTTATCCGAGATCACTGGTAGTGAATTCTCAGTGGCAAACTCTGCGAGCTGTTTTTCTCGACAATACACTAACGGACGGATCACTCTTATATCACCCTGCTGGACGAAGTAGTTAGCTTTCATCGTTCTCAATGTACCATTATGGAAAGCGCTCATGACGAAGCTCTCAGCGAGGTCATCCAAATGCTGTCCCAAAGCCAGCGAGGTGTACCCGAACTCCCGCATACATGAGTACAGCATACCCCGCTTCATTCGAGCACAGAAACTACACAGACTTGGTTTCTTAGGATCGAGTGAATTCTTCGCCATCTCAATCAACGGCTTAGACAAGAAGTGATACTCCACCCCTAGCGCCTCCATATATCTCTTCAGAGGCTCCGGACTGTATTCAGGCGTTTGAGGATCAACAGTAGCAGCACCGACGGTGAACTTCACGGGCGAGCGCTTCCTCATCGCCAACAGCAAGTGCAGCATCGTCAAGCTGTCCTTACCACCCGAGAGGCCAACAAGAATCTTATCGCCTTCGTTAATCATTTGGAAATCTCTTACGGCCGTACCAGTGAGTAACCGAAGTTTCTTAGACACAACTGGCGTGATGGAAGTCTGTGGGAAGCCACTCGGATGAAGTTCAACGTGAGGAGAGGCCAAATCCGTAGGACCCTGAGAGACACGGAAACCGTACCAACGAGTCGATCATGCAGTGCTAAGGGAATACATGCTCACTTTCCTCACCTGAGCTCAGGAGTAGCCAAAGCTGATTTCATACGAGGTAGAAAAACCACCAAAACTTTCTCACAATTTTCATATAGTTACCAACACATGTGCATATATTTTATATATGTACTCAATGCAATATCGACTTCAATGATAAATCCCTTCTTCCTCATTAGAAGTAGCTCACCTCACGCCTCACTTCCTCTTGCTGTGGGGTACTATGCGATGCAATAATCAACTTCCGCTCTTCCTCAGACTTCGACCAAATCGATGAATTGAAGATACTCTCAGTAGGTCTGATAAAATAAAGTGAAAACTCTTTAGCCGCATCAGCGTTTTTCATCTCCTCCGAAGCCTTCAATAGGTCTAGAACTATTCCTAATACATACCTCACAGGAAGCTTCCCCTCCACACCTCCTTTGAAGAGTGGTACGTTAGGGTCCGTACAGATCTTCGGTTTTGGTTCGCCAACTACCCCCTCCATAGACCACTTGCAATCAGTCGGCAAGGCAAACCATATTAGGTCCGCCAACTCGGGATCCAATAAGGGACACTTCACAGCTGAAAACGGAACCTGAGCCGAATAGACATTGACACCAACATGTGATGAAGAAGAATGCCACGGATCAAATCCATAAATTCCATGTTGAGATCTTCCACGTGTTACACTCACAAGTAAACACCGGGTAAGTTGGCTGTAACCTTGTCCATAATATCACTTCTTTTCAACCACTACTTATAACATTTTTTGTTAATTTCTCAACTACTACTACTACTAGAGTTCGCTGTCTCATAGCATTGCATACCAAAACTTGCCTAACAAATTTTCACGGTTCCGGTGGGTGAATTTTTCACCTGCTATTATATATGAATATAATCGTTTCACTCTAGTATATGCTGTCTCATACTTCCAGCCTGCTGCAACACTACTCAAGGCGATATACTCAATTTTCGAATCTCATCCCCCCTAATGATGAGGAGCCATCAGAAATAACTACTAAGCTCATGCAACCTCTCACCTGGCCCGCCGAATAGGCGTTTTCGACGATCTTGTCGGCTCTTTTGATGAGGCCTTCAATGCTGTCATCATCAACAGCAGCAGGAACTACGGTGACACCGTTGGTGACACCACTATCACCAAGGATGCGAGACCAGCCCAGATCAGTCGATAACCATCTGCAATGCGCGAAATCAACTACGGGATGCTTTTAGTAATTTTCCCACCAAAACTAAATAAATAAATTTCATATTCATTTCACTCTTCATAATGTAGTGAGAAAGTTCGAGAACAACAATCATATACAAGCTGTTCGAAAAAAGAGCTCGCCGGTCAAAACTCGACAGACGAAAATATTCATAAATGCAATCTACCACCACTTCACCAAATAAACAACTTTCTCCACATCACCATAATATGAATATGAAAAATATAGAGTTGATTCTTGTTTTCTCATTAGAGTTATTCACTTCGCAAGAAATCGATTATAAATGATTTGCTATACTTTCTGATATAGTTATAGTCGTTGATGCAGTTGTTGTTGTTATCGCGGTTTACCGTTGATTCGGGCGGAAACCGTTCTCGCAAACCCGTTCTACTCGAGTTCTTATCAAAGTTGGCTTCGTACAGGTACAAACAATCGTCGCGAGCTTCAAAACAGGTAGGCTGATATTCACATTTGCTTAGAAATTTCGAGGGTTGGGCTCTGTTTTTTTGCAACACCCTGTTTTTCAACGTGGAGAAAAAATATGCACATGATCATGTGTTGGTATCAATGGAGTTTCACGGGCACCCTAGTGATATGAAAAATATGTTCCACTACTACTGCATATCACCGCGAATATCGCCTAGTTTTTCACGACGAGTCGTACGACGCCACTTCACGTAAAACGGGTGATCGTGAAACTCCAGAGTATAATATTTTTTCGAAAATTCTGCAAACTTCTGCAAACATTTCCACTCGATTTGTATATAAACTCCTCTAGTTAATGAGCTCAGCTGAGATAAGCAATCACATAGTGTAGGAAACACCCACATGTGTCGTTGACAATACGAAAATTCTGAGAGGAAATTCTCATTATTTTCTACTTTAACTCCCAAGCTCAGCTGAG